GTAGCCTTCATACTCAGGGTATTTCACATAATTGAACACGCACTTTCTTGGTCACTTAAGCCCGGCGCACACGTGAGTTATTTTACTCAAGTAAAATGACGCATGCGTCAAATTACTCAACCAAAATCCGCCATACACGTGAGTAAAATGACTCGTGTGTCATTTTACTTGAGTAAAATAACTCACGTGTGCGCCGGGCTTAAGTGACCAAGAAAGTGCGTGTTCAATTATGTGAAATACCCTGAGTATGAAGGCTACGTATATTTCAAGCTCATGAATATCAAGCGGACGTCTTTAATCGTTTACTATCTGATGCAGCCAGAATTTAATCTACAGTATTATCCCTGCTATAAAGATTTCTCTTCTCTTGACTACCAGGTAATGCACGTACGGTACAATAATCTTTTGTGCTTACGCTGCCAAGTGGTAAATCGATTAACTTAAAATACAGAGAGTAATTATAGAAGGATGCATGATGCATGAACATTTTTTTTTCATCACGTATAATCGGTATAACACACGTTAACATAATGTAATTGCCTTTTCGCACGCGCACGTGTGCGTGTGCGCGCGTGCGGGTGCGTGTGCGCGCGTGCGGGTGCGTGGTTGATGACCAAACGAACTTACGTCAGTAGAGGTAGGTAGGTGATGCACCGAGAGACGAGGCATTGGCAATCTATTGCACAAAACGCTATGCATGCGTGCACAGTACAAACATTATACAATATACATATAGCACGCGAATTGACTATGTCAGATAATTGAGACTATTGTATTATTTTGTTCATACAGAAGCTACTCGTAAAAAGTGATATTACAATTACTCTATCAGCTATTTTTAACTGTAAAATCGTACATGTAGTCTAAATATATATATATATAAGTAATTTTTAAATTACTTAAAACTTGGTTCTAAGTTAAACTTCTTAGTTAAAACTAATACTAAAAACTGAGCAAGTATTGAAAAGTGAAATGTTCTAGCTTACCCTTCATCATTTTGGTAAAAAACAACAACAGTGATGTCAGTTCTATTAATAATGATAATGATGTTTTTTTTTGCAGATGTACTGAAACTGTTTGTGCCCGTCTGTGACAAGGTGTTTCTCAGCGTTTTGGCAGCCTCGGGAGTACTGTGCCTCATTGCATTGGCTCTCCTCGGCCATCTTCTCACCTTTCATATCTACCTAAGTAAGTATATAATACTATAAGTAATAAAAACGTTTGTAGCTATTCTTAAATTCCATCGCCCTGTCCTTCCCCTAACATGGAGGATTGTTTAACTGCTTAATAATGACTGGATGGCTAAGAGTAGCTGTGACTATTGGTTGCAGTTTTACTTTTGTAATAGTATTGCAGTAGTTGAAGTACTATTGTTGATACTATTGCACTAATTGGAAAACTGTTGTGATACTATTGATGTATTATATTGTTATAATATAAAGTAGTATAGTATGTTCGTATGTATGTTTGTGTGTATGTTGTGGCTTATATTATTTGCTAGACTTTTTTTACTTTTACTAGACCCTTTTATTCTATTCACACGCTGATGCATAGTGAGTGAGCTAGTAGAGTGGACCTTACGTAGTTGACGGGGACCAGTTTAAATATTTACAACGATGTCAGATGTGTCTGTAATTGTGTCCTTACATGTGACTTATTTTATCAGGACAGCCTATTGACAAACACTATAGTCAAAAAATGTGATTTGTGCGTGCACTGCTTTCATACTAGTAAAAGTTGGGCAAACACATGGGTATTGTGGAAACATTGCCTTTAGGCATGACGCCGGGACAAGTCTACATCAAACGGCTCTTACCAGTAAACATCATGTAACTTCGTAAATCTATTCTCAATTTTCTGAACATCGTTATAATCATGTG